CATGAAGTAACATGAACACGAAGTAACATGAACACGAAGTAACATGAACACGAAGTAACATGAACATGAAGTAACATGAACATGAAGTAACATGAGCATGAAGTAACATGAACACGAAGTAACATGAACATGAAGTAACATGAACACGAAGTAACATGAACATGAAGTAGCATGAACATGAAGTAACATGAACATGAAGTAACATGAACATGAAGTAACATGAACATGAAGTAACATGAACACATAGTAACATGAACATGAAGTAACATGAACATGAAGTAACATGAACATGAAGTAGCATGAACATGAAGTAGCATGAACACGAAGTAACATGAGCACAAAGTAACATGAAGTAACATGATTGGCTTTGACATTGTCTGCATGAATTTTTGTGCTGCAGAAATTATTGATGCACATCCAAAACAATGTCACTGTGCTCAGCCTCAGTGGTTTATATGAAAGATGTTTTAGTCTCTTTAGAATGATTTGTTCAATTATCTTTGTAGAGATCTAGTATAGAGCTGTATGAATGGGTCAATGAGGCACAGATTGTAGTGTAAAGAGCTTTGAGTGTCTTGATAAGATAGAAAGGAGCTGTATAAGTACAGTCCATTTATTTACAGATGCAAACAAATTTGTTTATTAAACAATTAAAAAAGCACAAAGGGCATTAAAATAATCGGATGCATGCTCAACAATCCAGGTGGATAATTTACTTGTTGAAACGTTTTGGCTAAAAGACTTCCTCAGTCTGAGGAGCTGCAACAAACTCAGCCTTATAAGCAGCACCTTCTTATAGTGGATCAAGTAGTTTGCTGGTGACATCCAGAACTAGCTGTTCACATGCAAAACCATCAGCTTAACGACTGATTGTCAGCGCTCTGATGGCTGTTTACTGTTCACAGAGGGCTGAGTGACACTAGCAATCACAGCATTGTAAGAGGGGGGCAGTTGAACACGTAGGCCTCCACCCCTGTTTAATGATGGACGGTTTCTTTTCACAAAGATGGCCTCCTTTACTCCTCTGTCAAACCATCGTTCCTCTCTGTCCAGGATGTGAACATCTTCATCCCTGAAAGAGTGACTGCTGGCCTGGAGATGACTGTAGACCAGGGCTGTCAAACTCACTTACAAAAGGGAGTCAAAATTAAAACCTTTTTCAAACTAAGGGCCAGTTTCAGAATCTACTTTAACTCAAGTGAAGATACCGAACATGTTTTCTTGTGTGCAGGTTCCTCCAAAAGAGTTTGATTGGTCTCATGTGATGTTCTCTGTTGCACTTTTGACACCATAATCAAAGATTACTGAAACAATTCAAGTGAAAACGTATTTTATGTTTAACCTATCATCTTGGGGGCCAGATAAGATGTCAACGAGGGCCACATTTGGCCCCCGGGCCTGGAGTTTGACATGTAGAGTCCTGGTCTGATAAAGAACTGCAGGACTCTGCAGTCCACATTCATCTGCAGGCCAGTGGTCTTCTGAGTTCACATCTGAGTCTGTTGCAGCTCCACAGACTCGAGGCTTTTTGTATAAAAGACAAAATGTTGCAACAACGAAGGATCAGTCCAGAGAACCTGACTCACCCTCGATTGGCATTAACATCACTTGAAACTGACAACAACAACAACAACAACAACAACATTCTATGAATTAATGAACAAAAATCATGTAAATATACTTAAATGTTGAATTATCAATACAACTTTTATTTTGTTAGAATCTGTTGTAACATTTGACACATCAGATTTATAATATTTGAGTAGACATCTTTTCTAACAGCTTTGTATGAATAACATTTAGAGCACTTTCAAACCGTTTGTAGCATTTGTAAACAAATTATAAACTCGTTGTTTGTGGTTACACATTTTATAAAATGTGTAACCACATCTGTGCCAAACACTAAATTAGTAGCAATTTTAGGCAAATTGAACATGTTGAAGAAAGTCTTTTTCACTTTTATACTAGAAAACCCTTGAATATTGTCACAGTGTGTCACTGAAACATCTGTTTGTTGTCAGGCTGAACATGGTGGTGGTGGTGGGACTCCACGCTGCTCGCTGGAAGCACACACTGCTTGACTGTACAGTCCTATAGATGTGCACATGTGAGCTGTATTCTGTTCTTCATGAAGTTCATGTCAGACAAAGATGATTCACAGAAATATGTTGAAGCAAAACAAACAAGCAAAATACATTAGTACTTCTTTGTTTTTTATATACAGTACATATATCTAGCTGAGGTGAAACAAATGGACAAGTCCCTTTTGTCCTGGATGTCCTTCTACCTGAGGACATTGCTGGATGGACAATGTTTCAGTGAACAAGGCAGAAGAAAAGTACCTTAAAGGATGAAGCATCAGAAACCGAGAAAGACAAGAGTTTGATTTGATGATTGAAGAACAAATGAAGAGGAAACAAAGTCAGAATACTGCGCTGGAGTTGTACTCAAACCCAATCATTTAGTACTTTTTTAAATTTTTATTTGTGTATTTTTTTGTGTTTTACAATATTTTCTATGAGTAAAAGTCTCATCACCTGTGTGCTTCACTAAAAACACAAACCACAAGGAGTCTCTTTTATTTTGTTTTTGAATTTTTGCCAACATTGGGATAAGATGCTGTTAAATGAAAGTTAATTGTAAAATATAACGCGTGTCATGAAAGAACGCAGAGTTTCACAGACTTCAAGAGCGAACTCACCAAGCGGCCGCCACCTCCAAGTTCAGGCCCATTTTTAATTCTCAGCCTGATGGGGTTTGTGTTCTGCAGACCTAAAACACTTCTGTTGATCTTTTACGGTGCACTGGAGACCCACTCAGTTGTAAATATGTTTTTTTTGGGGGGGGGGGGGGGGGGGGGTGCTTTTTTACAGCACAGATAAAATGTGTGCTCAAGTAAAACTCACCTTTTGCATCTTTAAGTGTAACGAGAAACATGTCTGTGATCATATCTATATACAGTGTGTAAAAACAATAGAGTGGACATAGTTATGTGAATAACTAATAATGTTTTTTATATGTTGGGGCGGCTGTGGCTGAGTGGTTAGAGCAGTCGTCCTCCAATGCAAGAGTTGGAGGTTCAAATCCACCAGCAGTCACATGCTGAAGTGCCCCTGGGCAAGACACTGAACCCCTCATTGCCTCTGATGTGTGTCCCGTCAGTGTCTGAACGTGATAAAGCTCTGATTAGTCTCTTTAGAATGATTTGTTCCTTTAGCTCTGTAGAGATCTAGTATAGAGCTGTATGAATGGGTAAATGACGCACAGATTGTTGTAAAGAGCTTTGAGTGTCTCGATCAGATAGAAAGGTGATATATAAGTGCAGTCCATATATACATAGATTATTTTATCTGTAAATAGCTTGTGAATTTTTTTACACCTAGTTTTTATTTCTGTGCTCTTGTCTTGTTGCTGCTGTGACATCTGAATCTCCCCTTTGTGGGATAAATAAAATATATGTAATTTGTGTGAGTGCACTCTTTCATTGGGACTGCATTAAATTTGATGGAATAATGGTAAATGGACTGTACTCATACAGCTCCTTTCTATCTGATCAAGACACTCAAAGCTCTTTACAACAATCTGTGCCTCATTTACCCGTTCATACAGCTCTATACTCGATCTCTACAAAGAATAATCAGAGCTTTATCACATTCATACACTGATGGGACACATCAGAGACAATGAGGGGTTCAGTGTCTTACCCAGGGACACTTCAACATGTGACTGCTGGTGGATTCGAACCCCCAACTCCTGCACTGGAGGACGACTGCTCTAACCACACAGCCACAACCGCCCCAGACAAGAAAGAAGAAGAAAAACAAAGTTCAGAGACCCACGTAGAAGTGCACTGCAGTGCTTCCTTTGCGTTCTAATGGCAGACCCTTAAAGAGACAAACCAGTTTACCTCAGACTCGTACCGCCTGGAGTTTTTCTTAGGTGCAGGAGCTTTGGACCTTACAGCTGGAGGTGAGATAGCTTTAGGGGAAAGTGAGCGCTGACGCTCTGAAGGGAATCGTGCTGATCGACGTCTCCTCTGCCTCTCTTCCTCCCTGCTTTGCTCTTTCTCCTCCTCCTTAGTTTTTTGCAGCTTTTTCTGCTCCTCCTTGGTCTGCTGCTGAGACAGACTCATTGCTTGCATGGTCATCTGCTGGGCCTGAGGTGATTAGCAGGAACATGCAAGCTTAGACAAAGAAAAAGCTACTATAGGATTAAATTACCAACACTTTTATAAATCAGACCATAAGTAAGGCTTGCTGGTTGATGAGAGCTTGCTGAGTTGCTGCCATCTGCATGGGATCACTGACAGCAGGAGCCGGAGGCATCATCATCGCTGTGGAGGGACAGTTGAAAAAGGTACTAATGGTCCAAACAGAACCCATTAACAATGACAGAAAATCACATTTGGCAAATAGAAATACAGTCACAAGAGTCAGAGTCCTCTTACCAGGTCTATTGTCTTTCTTTCTCATCCAAACCGCTAATCAGAAAAGCCTTTTTTACTAGTTGCTATATATCGTCCAGAGGGCCCTTATTTTCAGTTTTTGTCTGAATTCTCATTTTTTTTGTGTGATTAATTATTGAATACTGATAAAGTCATAATAATGAGTGATTTCAATATTCATGTAGGTATTGAAAGTGATAGCTTAAGCATAGCCTTTAATAACAGAGTAACTGGTTTTACCCGAAATCTATTCATTCTCATCATCACACTCTTGATCTGGTTCGGATTTATGGCATAGAGATTAAGGACTTAAAATATATCCTCAAAATCCTGTTCTGTGTGATCATGTTTTAATAACCTTTGAGTTTACATTGACTACACATCCGCTGAGAGTACATTTCATTTTAGCAGGTGTAATCATTTGTAAACAATCTCTTCCATCAATGTTTTCCTCTGTCTTGCAGAGTAATGCTTCAGAGAACAGTGACTTAGATGAACTTGCTGATCATCTTACAACTTCAACGCAAACCACTTGATAAAACTGTTACACTAAAAAAAAAAGAAAGTAATCACAGGAAACTGGCTCCTTGGTTCAATTCTGAGTTATGTACTTTAAAACAGGCATCTAGAAAGTTGGAAAGAAAATGGCGCTCTACTACGTTGAAGAATTTTATTCAACTTGGAAAGATAGTCTGCTAACATATAAAAAAGCTCTCCGTAAAGCTAGAACTTTATATTACTCATCTTTAATAGAGGAGAATAAAAATAACCCCAGGTTTCTGTTCAGCACTATAGCTCAACTAATGGAAAGTCTCTATCAAGCTGTGTATCCCTACAGTAGTGATGACTCCATGAGATTCTTTAAAAATAAAATTATTTCAATTAGAGAGAAAATTCAAACGTTCCTTCCTACTGTCACCTCTGGTTCCCTGTCAGATTAGGTAACTTTAAAAATGTCACTAGAACCTGGTTTATGTTTGGACAGTTTTTGTCCTGTTGAGCTCTGAATTGTAAAAAATGATAGCTTCATCCGAACCATCAACATGTTACTAGATCCCAGCCCAACCAGACTGTTTAAAGAGGTGCTTCTCTAATTAATATCCTGATTCTGGATCTGTTTAATTTGTCTTTAATGGATGGTTATGTACCACACCACTTTAAGGTTGCTGTAATTAAACCTTTACTTAAGAAACCTGATCTTGATTCAGGAATTCTGGCCAACTATAGACCTATAGCTAATCCAACATTTATCTCAAAACATTTTGAGAACATAGTAGTAAATTAATTGTGTGAAACAAAATAATCTGTTTGAAGAGTTTCAGTCAGGGTTTAGAGCTCATCATAGCACAGAAACAGCACTAGTAAAAGTCACTAATGATATTCTCATGGCCTCAGACAATGGACTTGTGTCTATACTGGTCCTGTTGGACCTCAGTGCTGCATGGTTCACTGGTGCCCATGTCCAGCCATCTCTGTGTGAGAGGTGGGGGTACACTCTGGTCTCTATGTGTCCCTGTGATTGACAGGTCTCCAGTCCATCACAGGGACACATAGAGACAAACGAGACAACCATTCACTCTCTCTCTCACCTAGGGACAATTTAGAGTTACCAATCAGCCTAACATGCATGTTTTTGGTCTGTGGGAGGAAACTGGAGTACCTGAAGAAAACCCACGCATGCACGGAGAGAACATGCAAACTCCACCCAGAAAGGCCCCTGGCAGAGATTTGAACTGGGATGACCTGCTCGCTGAGAGACAGCAGCTCTACCAAATGCCCCGCCGTGCTGCCCATGATGATTAATTAATCAATATATTTGATCAGCAGCACCTGGTTGATATTGAACTTCTGAAAACCTGTGAAAGCAGCAAGGCTGGTACCTGTTATCATTCAGTTTTTACTTTTTTAATTGGTAAATGTCTGACTGCAGCTGGCTATGAGGGAAAGCCTGCTGGACTCTGCGGCTGTATAAAGTCTGTAGTCTGCAGTCTAGGCTCATTCTGTGACACGTGTCATGCATTATGTACTTACAGTATGTATGTAATCTGTCTTGAATGAGTCCATGCAAGTAAAATGCTGGTTAAAAACCTTCTACTGCCATCGAGTGTAGTTCTTTTAGAGTAAGTACGTTAACCCTCCTCTTATGTTACGGGTCAAATTGACCCGTTTTAAAGTTTCAAGATCTAGGAATAATAGTTAAAAGTGTTTTTCAGTATGAAACTTCTTCTACTTGCCTTAATTTGTGTAATCAACTTACAATGTGAAAATGGTTCATCTCACATATTTGCAACCACCCCCTGCATGTTTATATCACATAGATACTGTTCGGGTCAGTTTGACCCAGCAGTCAAACTGGAGGTAAAAGGGTGTCAGAAATGTCAGAGTATTTCTTTCCAAACCAGCTAAATATGGATAAATTCAGGGCAGCATGGGATGCAAACACCAGCTATGCACTGAACATGCAGGTTTACACTGGAAAGCTGGTTGGAGGAGCCCCAGAGAAGATTCAGGGCACAAGGGTCGTACTCGACATGGCACAGGGTCTCAGGGGGCACAACACAACCTGTGACAATTTTTTCACAAACTACAATTTAAGTCAGGAGCTTCTAAAGAGAAGGCTCACAATGGCTGGAACTGTCCGAAAGAACAGGACTGAACTCTGCTGAGCTGCTGGTAATCAAGGTCCCCTCAATCTTCCATGCTTGTCTTCACAGACACCACAGCCCTGGTGTCTTACTGACCCAAAAAGGGATTAAATGTTGTGCTCATGAGTACTCTGCACAAAAATGCTGACATCAGCACAAGAGATGACCAGAAACCAAGCATGATCCTTGGTTACAATGCCATCAAAGGTGTGTGTGTGTGTGTGTGTGTGTGTGTGGGGGGGGGGGGGGGAGACAACTTGGAAAAAGTAACAGGGTCCTGCAGCTCCAAAAGAACGACTGTGTGCTGGCCTTTGGTCATCTTGTGTAACATGATAGATGTATCGGCCTACAAGCATTTGTCATCTGGACTGAGATCTTTCCTGACTGGAATATGTCAAAGCTGTACAAGAGGCGCATCTTTCTTGAGGAGCTGGGGAAGGCGCTTGTGACACTGCACATCCAACAGAGGCAGCACCTGCCAAGGACCTCAGTCACTGCAGCCATGGTGAGGGAGATCCAGGAGGACTGCACCAAGTACTACACCAGTGTGTGAGGTAAGTAAGTCAGTGTGTGTGTGTGTGTGAGTGTGTGTGTGTATAAGTGTATGAGAATGTGTTGTGTGTGTCTTGGTATCAGCAAAAAGACACCGTAGTAAAGTAACCGTGGTCCTCTTGTTTCTAGGTTGCTGCTGAGGGAAAAAGAACGAGGAAGAGGTGCCAGGTCTGCAGGCCCTCTGATGATGTCAAGACAAGCATGACCTGTGCAAAATGTGCAAAATTCATTTGCACAAAGCACAGTGTGATAACCTGTCACTCGTGTGCAGTGTACATGGACAGACGCACACAGGTTCATATTGCGATTGCTTGTTTGTTGTATTGCGATTTTGTTCATGTCTTGCTCACAGTGAATGTATGTGAAACAAAACTGCAATGTTTTGTTTCAATGTTATGTAAAACTACTGTGTTTTATATGTTGGTCTTTCAAAAGTAATAAAGTAGTGAAAGATTAAAAAAAGTTTGAACATGTATTTTTTTATGAAAAACGAGTGAATTATCCTAACTGAACCTGTTAGAGGTAAATAACACTATTGCACTAAATATTGATAGAATAATTAGTAATGGAGTTAGTAATGAAATATTCCCTGTGCTTGGTAGGATTGTTTTTGGTTTCAGACATCTTTTGAATAATAAAACATGCACCGGGTCTAACTGACCCGGGAACACATTGCTGTTCCTGGCAAATGAACTTTACAGGAGAGTTAAACTCATGTAAACAGTAAATAATGACACAGTGAAATCTTTTGTGTGTTTTTCACACTAAACGTTTGACTCATGTTGGAACCTGGTAAAAACCAATTAATTTCATTATATTCTGATACATTATGTAAACCCCTAGAACTGGCAGAGGATGGACCCCCCCCCCCCCCACACACACACACACACACACGACTGTAGGTAATGGTGCCAGTAATGAATGGGGGTGGGAGATGGGAAGCAGAATGTGATGAATGATTACATTTTGTGGTTACCTGGCATGGTTGGCATCATCGAAGCTGCGCCATAACTGGGCATCGCAGGGTTGACTGGTGCTCCTACACACAAACAAGCATCCACGTTATTTTTCACAACAGCTGCTACTTGTTTTTATGGGGTACATAATACAAAAAAAGAACAATGTGGTCTACATGACTTACCCATAGGATATGTTGGCATTGTCATGGGCATACCTGAAATACAAAAGATCTAATCTTAAATTTATTTAAGCCACGATTATTTAAAATATATTGAAAAGCTGCTAATTCTCTCTGACAATCAAGATGCCAAGTTTACATTTAATCGTAAATTATATTCCTTTATTGTCACAGAAGTTGTGTGTTTAACAATGTGTTGGCTGTACAAACAGTGCGAGTTCTTCTCTAAGTCTCTCATTCTGTAGTTCTTTTTAAATATCTACTCTAAATGCTTGAACTTGTTGAATGTGTAATATAATATATTAGCTAAATGCATAAACATAAGCAGCTTAAAATTGAGACTAGCCCTTAAAGAAAGCCCAACTGTCATCACAATTTAAGAAAGCTGCTGAATCCATTGGAAGATACGGTGTTTTCCTACCAGCTCCATACATGCCAGCATGCATTGGTCCAACTCCACCTCCTCCTCTCATTCTGCGGTTCAGCATCGCTACTCTTTCCGTGTCCTAAACACACACACACACGTGCACGTACACACACATAACTGGTTAACAAGTGACCGAATGAGGTGCTGAGCAGTCACAAACAGTTGAACAGTTACTGAAAAGACATTAAATAATGTAGTCATTCCACAAACTTGGTAACAGGATGCAGAAAGACACTCCATTTGTGACCAGAGACTGAAGCATGGACACCTTACGGTCTCATTGGCAGAAGCCACATCAAGTTTATTCAGTTAAAATTGAATCTAACTGACCGGTGGTCCGTGGTCCAGAACAGGATCAAACAAGTCATCAACATAGGAATCCATCTGTCGGCCACGCCCTGTAGATCAACAGAAACACACAGGAGAGAGCTGAAACAGAATTGTGCTCTGAGTTTCACTCAGCAGCCTGCTACACGGAACATTTTGAACAATTAAGGCACTCCTATATTTAATACGATGATTTTAAGGTTTGCAAATGGCTTCTGTCTTGACCTTCCATATACTGCCCAATGGGACAAGTGAGCCACTTGTGCACATTCAGAGCCTATGACTGCAAATAACATCATCATGTTCAGTGTTTTCAGATGGAGGTTGTCAGATATATTAAAAAATTACAGCAGAGTATGAACATAAATAAAAAATGGGAGTGGTGGCGCAGAGGGTCCGACAACATCAAAAATACGTGGGTGGGATAGGTGAAGCACCCACACCTGCCTCCACCCTCATTTGCCCCACTCTGGGCCCTTGAGCAAGGCCCTGAACCCCCACCATCTGCTTCCCTGGAGCCCTACATAGAGTTCCAGTAAACTGTTTCCCCACCAAGCAGTAACTCCTTAAGGGGACCAACCAGTTTCCAGCAAACTGGTTGAACAGTGAACTTTAACGAACCAATAAAATCTTCACCGGAGCCTGCGTCACTCTGTGTCACTCTGCGTCACTCTGTGTCACTCTGCGTCACTCTGCGTCACTC